AGGTAACAGGGATGCTAAAACCCCAGCCCCAGAAAGCTGAAGGGGCCAACTGAAGTCGTGAATTTTGGCAAGTGTGCACTACTGGTTCATTTTGGTTTGGCTATTAATGGTAACTGCCGTTGGAAATATTTGGTTTTTGAATCACATTTTATACAAATGCAGATTTTTTAAAAAGCTCGGTTGTTAGCACAAAATACTTTTCATTATGGCATTTGGGGGAAGGGACAAATGTCACTTATAGGAAGGTGAGTCAAAAAGTATGGCTACTCCTGGTTCACAAGAGCAAGAAGTTGGAACCAGCTTAAAAGCGCATCTATAGAAGCAGGGATAAAGAGACTGGTGCATACCCACATTGGAATACTGTGCACGGCTCCAAAAAAAGTATGAAAACACGAAGCACCTCACAACATGGGCAGAACTAGGAAAGCATCTTAGTGAAATTAGTTGGAAATCCCAAAAGGCAACGTATAAGACCACTTCTCTACAGATAAACACCAAGACAAAGGCATCTGTTCGCAGGTCACGGAAGCTTTGCATCTAGTCTAGTGGTCATGATTCATCCCTCCCTCTTTGTTTGTGTATCTTAAAAACCGTGGCTTCAGAAGATGCCTCACCCCAGTTGGGCCAGTTTTTCATTGAGGAGGGAAGAAAGAGAGGACCAGAGAGTACCGGCCATAGAGCATTGTCCCATGGTCACCCCAAATCAGGACACTCCTTCAATGGTGTTTGGTCAGTTTCCATGGACATTCTAGACTGTAGGGGGTGGACTGATATGTCTGACCGTGACAAGGTTGTTTCACTTCTGTTGACCCGTAAGCCAGGAAGGGCAGCTTGTCCTTGGGGAATGCTTAAAATTATTTATGCAGACCCTCAATAGGAGAACTGCCCTATATTATGTTCCCAATCATCCATTATTTTGTTTATTTTACCAAGTGTGTCTTCGACTTTGGGTGACACAGGCTGCAGGAAACTTAGGTTTTAGATGTCTTCTTTTCTACGTCCACAGAATTCTTCACTCCATCAAATGGCAGTTTTGACGTCATCAAGAGACTTGCTACCTTCAAATAAAGAGCATGTTCGTTATTGTGATGGAAAAACAAAATCTTGGCACAGCTTTCCTGGCCTTTATCTTCTGTGTGGTTTTCCATTAAAAAAAAAAAAAATCTCTTAACCCCCTGTGAGAGTCCCATGCCCGTCAAGTTTATCCCTGTGCCTTGAATTTAACAGGTCCAGGTGACCCCCTTGGAAGCCACTGTTTTGCTTGGACCCCATCTTTGAAAGCACCCTCCTGTGCCTAAGACAAGTGTATTACTGAGAGAACCTGTCTGCAGCCGTTCACTGATCTGCAGTGGTAATTACCTGATACAGGTATGAAGAGTGCAACGCCAAGTTTGGAGAACAGCTTAGGAACAACCTTCAATATGTAGATGAACAACCTTGCTTGCTGAAAGTCAGGAGGACTTGAAGTACTTGCCGATGAAGATCGAAGATTCCAGTCTCCAATATGGGCTACAAAGTACTATGAAGAAAGCAAAAACCTTACTAACTGGATCAATAGATAACATCATGATAAATGGAAAAAAGATTGAAGTTGTCAGCAACTACGTACATCTTGCTGGGATCCAATCAATGTTCAGAGAAGCAGCAGTCAAGAGATCAAATGACACACTGCACTGGTGTTAGTCTGGGTTGACTAGAGAAACAAATCCAGAGGCACTTTTATGTGTAAGAGAGAACTTTATATCAAAGAGCAATTGTACATTGAGAAAACATCCCACTCCAGATCAAATCTGTCAGTCCCATATTAGCCCTTATGTCCAATACTAATCCATAAATTCCTCTTTAGACTCACACAGCACATGCAATGATGTCGAATGCAGGAAGATCACAGCCCAGTGGATAGCAAGTCTTGTGGATCCAGTGGCGGGGGAAGCATCTCAATGCTGGCGCAGGTCTCCACGTGGTTCCTGCAGCTTGCTGAGTGTCTCAACAGCAGGGAAATGAAGCAGAGAGAGCGTGTATCCCACCTCCAGGGAGAAAGAGTAAGTTCCCAGAATTCTCATGAGAAGCCACACCCACTAAGAGGCATCATCAGGCTGAGAGCTGATTGGCAGGTTAGACTCCACCCCTATACTTATCAAATTGACATGAAATTATGTAACTACCACAACT